GGAGGGGTGATTATATGCCTGTTGTGTTTTTATGAAATTATCTGATGATTACTAAAATGCTATTGAGTTGTTTGATTAAGTGCAAGTGCCATATGATATGTATGTGGTGTACCACCTAGATGGTAACCCCTAAGTATATGGAGACATGCAAGATGGTAAACCCGTGGGTGAGGTGCAAGCGGTGTTCCTTGTACTGTAGGTTGTAGACATATATAATCCGTACATTTTTATTCTCTGGCCAGTACGATTCTTACACACATGACATGGATATATGCTGCAATGCACAGATTTTGAAAATGATATTTTTATATTGTTTTGGAACTTATATTGCACATGTGAGTGAGCTTGGGGTGGAGAGATTCTGGAGGACGCCTTGTCTTGCTGAGATTTCTTTTTAGAGATTTCACCTCGTGTTGGGGCATATTTTTAGGTACATGTACCTCAGGGGTTGATACCTCTAGTGGCAGGAGGCCGGAGTTGAGTTGAGTTGATATGCATGCTGTTGAGCTGATATGTTAGAGGTTGTCATGCTTTATTTCAGTATATTGTTACTTGAGTTGAGACTTTGTTGGGCTTTGTTGCCTTATTTGGTGAGCATGGGGTTGTCCATGCCACATTGATATCAGTCATGTTTGCTTACACTTGAGTTGTATAAGTATCAGAATATTGTCCGGTCTACGTGTTGTAGTTCCGTGACTAGATACACATATATCTATTGAGGTTATTCAGTTAGTTATTTATTGCAATTTACATACAAGCGATATTTTGAAAAGGAATAAGTTATCCACTTGGTAAATAATGAATGGTTTATAATTGGAAAGAAAAAGTTAGCTTCTGTATTTAATTAGCTGCGCTATTACCATTTGTATGTTAATACACCGGGTGCACACGGGGTGTTACACTATCTCAATTCAATGTAAACCGCATAGCTCGAGGTCGATTTTCTTGAGTCAATATCCACATGAAAAAATAAGTCTATGTAATCTAAGATTTCAATATTTCCATTAGAATATATCAGCATATAATCTCTCGTTCTCCAAAGATACATAAGTATATTATTAACAACTATCTATAGTGTTCCTCTAGGATCAGATTAGTATTGCTTCATTTTTCCTACTGTGTCGCAGATGTCCAGTTTGGTGCATAACATGGAATACATGAGACTACTTATTGCTGAAGCGTAAGGTGTCCTGCTCATGCATTCTTCCTCCTTATGGGTCTTTAGATGTTACTCCTTAGAAAGATGAATTTTATGTATGAGGGATATAATTCCCCTATTAGAATTCTCTATGATGAATTTTACAAGAGTCTTGTTAATATAAGTAGCATGACGTAATGCCACTAACTTATTCTTCCATTCTCGTAAAAGCTTTATACCAAGAATATAATTGGCTTCTTCATATCAAAACACTTAGTCAGCCAACTCTTTATACCTAACAATACCTATGTATCGTTTACATTAATGAATATATCATTTACCTAAAGTACCAGAAAATCTATTACCTCACATTGGATCCTTTTACACACATATACATGTGATTCATCAAGCCTTTGTCTAAATCAAAAGATTTTATGGTCTGATCAAACCCGATGTTTCATGACCTGGATGCTTGTTTATGTCCATAAAATGGACTTTCGCAACTTGCATATTGTGTGTTATTTCCCTTTGGATATAAATTCCTTTTGGTTGTTGTATATAGATATCATTTCCTAATTTTCATTCAGAAAAGTTATTCTGACATCCATCTGTCAACTCTCATAATTGAAACTAGTAGCAGCAACTAAGAGAACCTAGATAGACTTAAGCATGATGTCTGCCAAAAGATTTCCTCATTGTCCACACCCTTTATCGGGTGTGTCCTTTTGCCTCTATTCTACCTTTGATGGTTTTCACTTTCTTGTCTATCCTCTTTTTTCCTTGTAGATTCACTTATACCTAGTGGGTCTTACCCCTCTTGGTGTCTGTAAAAGAGATCAAACTACATTGAAATACAAGTATTCTACCTAATGGTTCATAGCTTCGAGCCACTCCTGAACAATAACATCTTTTATTGCATTATCGTAACTAGTTGGATCAATATCACCTAACAAGAGATAACTTGAGGATTTAAAAGGCTCTCTTCCACTACGAATGTATCACACTAGATATTATGTATCTATAAGAAGATCAAAGTTTGGTTTATTTGGTGGATCTTCAATTTCTTGAGGATTCACGTATTATGTGTCAACAACTCTTTATATTGTTCTTCTACATGTGATACTAATAGTTCTACTAGTTCCACTTGTATATTATCATGTTTAATTTTCAATTATTGTTCCCGTGTTTTTTCACCTGGTGATATATTTTTCCCTTCTTTGAACAATCAAGGAAACAGAGGATGAAACTTCCTGAGTGTAACCGCCCATTACGTACCGGTATTGTTAACATTAATCATAGTATTAAGCGCAGTTACAATCACAACAGTTTATTTAAAAATACGAGTAAACATTTTTCTTTTCATTACTAAGCATTTAAAAACAATATAAAACGTAATGATACAAACTACGATCATAACTAAAATCTACACACGAAATTAATATTATACTAGCTTAACTATCATATAATACTTATTTTAAGTTGCTGTATGAAGTTGTCTTGATTAATTCTTCATGTTAAGGAGTAGTGTAGAACATACATGTTTACATTGTTTCTATATTTGACAACTTCATCATCAGTGTTCTAGTAGTCAAGACATTGATGCTAGGATTTTTAATGTGATCTTAAGACCTTAGTAATTAATGCATGTATTAAGAAAGGAATCACCAAGACATTGGGGTTTCTAATTAATGTGTCTATCAAGGTAGTAAGACATTACATCTTGTTGATAAGAAAAAGGTTGATCACCATTATATAGTAGATATTCATCATGGAAATTGGTTCATCCATCAATTCATTCTTGAGGCAAATTGACATCTGACTACTTGTTTTAAATTATATTCACACTTTATTTGTTTATCAATTCTTTAATTTTATTCAAATTTACTTTCTGGTGACAAGAAATAAATGCAATTCATAATCTTTTGGTTGATTCAACTTAACAATATTTGGTTAGTCAGTGCTTGACACAATTCCTCGTGGGAACGATCTTTACTCATCATTTTATTACTTGTTTGACTAGTACACTTGCTAATCCGACAACAAGTTTTTGGCGTCGTTGCCGGGGAATTTGTTTTTCAACATTGACAGACACCATTAGTTGTTAAGATTGAATCTTTTATTTTCAGTATTTTATATTTTTGTTGTATGAATTTTTGTTCCATTTTAATTCTGGTGTATGCAAGGTACTTTTGATTCAACTTCTTTGTTGTTTGACCCAGAGTTAGAAAGGACAATTAGAAGGAACAGGAGGGCAGCCAGAAGAAGGCAATTACTGGAAAGGGAGGAACCAAGTGGTGAACCAAGTACTACAGTACATGAAGAGAATATGGCAGAAAACCATGTGCAACCACCACAGAGGACACTGGGAGATTACATGACTCCTGCTGTCATTCCACCCATTGGAAGTGTGGTTCGACCTACAGTAGAGCCCAATAATTTTGAATTGAAGCCTGCACTGGTACAATTGGTGCAGAAAGAATAGTTTGCTGGAACAAGTGCAGAGGATCCATACCTGCACATTGAAAATTTCTTGTTGTTAAGTGACACTGTGAAGATTAATGGAGTGTCCAGAGATGCCATTCTTTTGAGGCTTTTTACTCATTCACTGAAGGATGATGCTAGGAGATGGCTACAGTCACAACCACAAGGAAGTATTACAACTTGGGATGACCTGCAGACCAAGTTTTTGACCAAATTCTTTTCAGCATCCAAGAGGGAAAAGTTGAAGGATGAGATTACAGGGTTCAAGCAGAAAGAATTAGAGTCTATCTATGAGGCCTGGGAGAGGTACAAGACACTCTTGAGGAAATGCCCACAACACGGGATAGAAGTGTGGAATCAAGCAGCAATCTTCCTCCAGGGGTTGACAACCACTACTAGGACATTGGTGAATGCCACAGCTGGTGGTTCATTGACAACCAAGACTCCTCAGGAAGTCCTGGACATCTTTGAGTCCTTAGCATCTCAGGAGTTTGACAATGCTCCAGTGAATGACAGAAGAATGGGCATTATTAAATTGGATGGCTATGATGCTTTATTAGCCAAGAAAGACCAGATGCAGCAAGTGCAGAAACAAAAACAACAACAAATTGATTCTCTCACTAAGCAGCTTTCTTCTCAGAAGGTTGCTTCTATGGACACTAATTTTGTGTGTGCCAGTTGTGAGAAAATCCATGTTACAGATGATTGTGATTGTAGGAGACCTGCTGAACAAGCAGAAGTTAATGGAGTGTGTTATGACCATAACAACCAGAGGAGTTACAACAACCAGGGGCGAAATGTGTATGTGCCACCATGGAAGAACAAGAATCAACACCCAGGGTTCAGTTATAGTTCCAACCATCAGTTGAATCCTCCACTACATCCTCCTCCAACACACTCATCACAGCCAAGTGATACTACTGCATGGGAGAAAGCTTTTGTCCAGTTATCAAAGACTACTCAAGATTATATCCAGGGGTCAAATTCTTTCAGGGAAGAGACTTCTGCTTTCATGCAGGAGACTAAGACAACATTCAGAAACGAGGAAGCATCCATCCGGAATTTGGAGACACAGATTGGTCAGTTGTCTAGGCAGATAGCTGAGAGGCCACAGTGAAAGTTCCCTGATCATACTATAGTGAATCCAAAGGAGCACTGCAAGTCCATTATCACAAGAAGTGGGCTTGTGCTCCAACCGGTGAACAAGAAAGTGGATGAGAAGAAAGTGGGAAAAAAGAAAAGTGAGGAGGAAGTTGTTGTTGAAGATGTTGTAGTTGAAAATGATAAAGAAGAGGAAGTTGAGGAAAAGAAGAAGGAAGAAGAGGTAGTGGTTGAAAAGAGTTCTTCACCCAAGAAGTTGATGAAGTGGGAGAAGAAGAAGATGGATGACAAGCAGGACCAGCCAATTAACCTATCTCCTTATGCTAAAGTGCCTTATCCTCAACGGTTGAAGCAGGAAATCCAGAAGCAGCATTATGCAAGGTTTCTGGATATTTTTAAGAAATTGGAGATTAACATCCCATTTGCTGAGGCCCTGGAGAACATGCCTCACTATGCCAAATTTATGAAGCATCTTTTGTCCAAGAAGAGGAAATTGAAGGATGGTGAGACAGTGGCTTTGACAGAAGAGTGTAGTGCCCTGATCCAAAAGAAACTTCCACCAAAATTGAAAGATCCTGGAAGTTTCAGCATCCCTATTTCCATTGGAGATGTGGAAGTAGGGAAGGCACTTTGTGATTTGGGGGCCAGCATAAATCTGATGCCTTTGACTGTATGTAGAGCCTTGGGAATCAACACCCTGAAGGATACTAATCTTATATTGCACCTTGCTGATAGATCCATCAAAAGACCAAAAGGTGTGGTTGAAGATGTTCTGGTCAAGGTGGACAAGTTTATTTTTCCAGTGGATTTTGTTATTCGAGATATGGAAGAAGAAGATACTGAAAGCCCTCTACTACTAAGGAGGCCATTTTTAGCAACTGCTAGATCCCTGATTGATGTTGAACAGGGGAAGCTGATGCTAAGAGTGAATGAAGAGACAATTAGAATTGATGTATTTGAAGCCATTAAACATCCTGTTGATGTGGAGGATTGTTTCAGGATTGACATTATACAGGTGGTTGTGGAAGAAGTGACAGGAGAAGAGGACCTGTTATTGGAGGAAGACAAAAGTAAGGAAGAAATGAGTGGGGAATTTTATCAGGAGGAACCAGTAGTTGAAGAGCTTGAAAAGAAGGTGGATGACATTCCTAAGGGAGCACCTAAGGTGGAATTGAAAGAACTACCTTCAAATTTGAAGTATGTGTTCCTTGGGGATGATGAAACCTACCAAGCCATTATCAATGTGTTTTTGTCTGAAGGGGAGGAATTGAAGTTGGTTGAGGTACTCAAGAAGAACAAGACAGCCATGGGCTGGTCATTTTTAGATCTTAAGGGTATCAACCCTTCCTTCTGCACTCACAAGATCTTAATGGAGGAAGAAGTCAAACCAGTGAGGCAACCACAGAGAAGACTCGATCCCACTATGAAGGAGGTAGTGAGGAAAGAGGTGGTGAAGTTGCTTGATGCTGGGATGATTTACCCTATTTCAGACAGTGCTTGGGTGAGTCCAGTTCAAACAGTACCCAAGAAAGGAGGGATGAATGTTTTAAAAAATGAGAATAACGAACTGATCCCTACAAGAACAGTGACTGGCTGGAGGATGTGTATTGACTACCGGAGACTCAACAAAGCAACCAGGAAGGACCATTTCCCTATTCCATTTTTGGACCAGATGCTAGAGAGATTGGCAGGACATGTTTTCTACTACTTCTTGGATGGATACTCTGGCTATAACCAGATAGTTGTGGCTCCAAAAGATCAGGAGAAGACCGCATTCACTTGCCCCTATGGAATCTTTGCATACCGGAGGATACCTTTTGGGCTATGCAATGCACCAGCAACTTTTCAAAGGTGCATGCTTTCCATATTCTCTGACATGGTAGAAAGATGCATTGAGATTTTCATGGATGATTTTTCTGTGTTTGGTCCTACTTTTGATGTATGTGTAGAAAACTTGGATTGTGTTTTGAAAAGATGCCAAGATTGCAATCTTGTGCTAAATTGGGAGAAATGTCACTTCATGGTGACAGAGGGGATTGTTCTGGGACACAAAGTGTCAAACAGAGGGATTGAAGTAAATAAGGCCAAGATCTCTGTTATTGAGAAATTACCCCCTCCCATAAATGTTAAAGGTGTGAGGAGTTTTCTAGGACATGCTGGATTTTACCTTCGTTTTATTAAAGACTTTTCAAAAATTGCAAAACCATTGTGCAAGCTGTTAAGGAAAGATTGAGAATTTCTGTTTACTGATGACTGCTTGCATGCATTCAATGTGTTAAAAGATAAGATGATCACTGCACCTATAATCATGGCACCTGTTTTTTCATTACCTTTTGAGCTTATGTGTGATGTCAGTGATTTTGCTGTGGGGGTAGTGTTAGGTCAAAGGAAGGATAAACTATTGCATGTCATTTACTATGCCAGTAAAATTCTTAATGAGGCACAAAAGATTTATGCTACTACAGAGAAAGAGTTATTGGCAATAGTGTATGCATTTGACAAATTCAGGTCATATCTGCTAGGGTCCAAGGTTATTGTTTACACTGACCATGCAGCTTTGAAGTATTTGTTAACAAAGCAGGATGCTAAGCCCAGGTTACTCCGATTGATGTTACTTCTGTAAGAACTTGAAGTAGAAATCAAAGACAAAAAGGGAGTGGAGAACTTGGTGGCTGATCATTTATCCAGGATCACAGAGACACATCTACAAGAGGGACCAGAAGTGGTGATCAAGGAGAAGTTTCCTGATGAACAAATACTGGCCATAAGCACTGTTTCCCAGTTGGTGCATGATCAAGTATTGTCTGTTAACACACTACCATGGTTTGCTGATTTTGCTAACTACAGAGCTGCTGGAGCCATGCCTAAGGATTTCACTTACCAGTAGAGGAAGAAATTTCTGCATGATGTAAGGAGATACATTTGGGATGAACCATACCTCTTCTATAGATGTTCAGATGGAGTAATCAGAAGATGCATTCCAAAAGAGGAGCAAAAGAGTGTTTTATGGCACTGTCATGGTTCAGCATATGGTGGTCATTTTGCAGGTGAGAGAACAGCAGCCAAGGTTTTGATGAGTGGCTTTTACTGGCCCACATTGTACAAGGATGCCAGGAAATATGTGGAAGCATGTGACAACTGCCAAAGGACTGGAAACATCTCCAGGAGACATGAAATGCCTTTGAATTTGATGTCTGGAGTATGGATTTCATGGGACCTTTTCCCTCTTCCTACTCTAACAAGTATATCCTGGTGGCAGTTGATTAGGTGTCGAAGTGGGTTGAAGCCATAGCCACACAGACCAATGATGCTAGAGTTGTGATAGCATTCCTGAAGAAAAACATATTTGTGAGATTTGGAGTTCCAAGAGCCATAATAAGTGATGGGGGAACCCATTTTGATAACAGGTTTGTTGAAGCTTTTCTTGCAAAGTATGGAGTAAGGCACAAAATAAGTACTTCATACCACCCACAGACTTGTGGTCAGGTTGAGATTTCCAACAGGGAACTTAAAAGAATTCTGGAAAAGACTGTTGAAAGTGCTAGGACTCAATGGTTCAAGAAACTTGATGACACTTTATGGGCATATAGGACAGCATTCAAGACTCCTATTGGAATGTCTCCATTTCAGTTGTTGTTTGGGAAAGCATGACATTTGCCTGTGGGGTTGGAGCATATAGCATTATGGGCTGTCAAATTCTTGAACTTTCATTCCAAAGCTGCAGGTGAGAAAAGGCTACTGCAATTGGATGAACTGGATGAATTCCGTCTGTCTTCTTATGAGAGTGCTAGCCTATACAAGGAGAAGACTAAGCTGTGGCATGACAGGACGATCACACCCAGGGATTTCAAGGTGGGAGATCAAGTGCTGTTATTCAACTCCAGGTTGAAATTGTTTCCAGGGAAGCTGAAGTCCAGATGGTCTGGACCATTTGTAGTTAAGAGCATGAAGCCTTATGGAGCGGTAGAAATTTGTTCTTGGGACTCTGACCAGAGTTTTACTGTTAATGGTCAGAGGTTGAAACTTTATATCGGATGTGCTGAGGATAGGCAACTGATTTCAGTTGCCTTATTGGAGGTAAACTAGATCATAACCGTCAGGCTCGCGACATTAAACACGCGCTGAGTGGGAGGCAACCCACTGTATCAGGTATGTAACATTCATGTTGATACCAATTAAAAAAAAAAGAAGAGAAGGGGAAAAATTTTGAAAACTTTTAAGAAATTTTTTTTGACAAGTGTTGGGCGCTAAAACTTCCATTCTGGACGTTTTAGCGTTCTAAGAGTTGTGTCACAATGAAACTCTCTGGTCATGAGCGCTAAAACGTTCATACTAACTGTTGTAGCGTTCCCTAATGCATCCAATTACAAGCACTCTGGCCCAGCGCGCTAAAACGTCCTTGGTGACCGTTTTAGCGCGGTGCTGCACACAACGTGTGCACATTTCTCTGGTCCTGGGCGCTAAACCGTTTGGTTTCAACGATTTAGCGCCCTGTCACTTATTTGACATACACAGGTTTTCCCTCACTTCTCTCATACTCACCCTCTTGTCTATATTTTTTTTCACTCACTCTCCCGCATTTTACACCCTTGAACTATTCCATCGTTCTTCATCACATCTCCTCACATTTCCT